CTTTGTTAATTCCATTATTCACTAACCCGAGTTAAGTCGATGATTATATACGAGGATATCCAGGATGTATATTTTAACAACAATCATTCATACGATCTAACTGGAATCAGATCTCGGACCACTAAAATGTGATTTTATAGGAATATTTTAGATCTCAAAATGTTATTTCAATATAAAGAGTCAAACCAAAAAAAACACAAAGAAACACTTTTAGTTCAGTGAATGATAGTAATCTCATCTCAAACTTTCTTCTATCATCAGAATAATAGTAGATAAACGTGAACAAAAATATTAAAAGTTCCATGATAAATCTTCAATGAAAAACATGAAACAGTTTTATGTGAAGCACCACTAATCAGAACAACGACTTTTAAAATGTTCAAAAATAAAAAAATTGCTTCAATGGAAATGATCAGTATTCAACGAGAAAATTAAAAAAACAAACACATCATGATATTAAATCCCCAATATTAATACAAACTGAAAACACTAGGGAAAATGAAAATTATGAATATTTTACATATTTATTCGAAGTGAAAGACTTCAGTACGAATCTTCTGAAGTGATTTATTTCATATATTAATTATTTTACAACCTCATATATAATAGAACATTACTCTGGTAATATAATCATAAAGGAATTGACTATGATCTAGGATAATTAGTAAAGTTCTGTGACAGTTAAACAGACTCTTCACTATATCATAGAACTTAATTAATGGTCAAAATATAATAAAAGTTTGTTCAGTATGCAGTGCTGAATAGATAGAAGAAATTATTTCAAAACAATTATAATGTGAGTTTCTGATGTGAACAGAGAAACAAAAAAGCTATGACGAACAACGGAGGCTATTTTGGGGACGTTATTTCACTTAATTCAAAGCTGGTAAAACACCAACATTTAGTTTGAATCCTAGTTTATTCTACAGACAATAAGCTTTGGTTTGATGTATGATTCACTGCCATATTCTTTTCTGTTTAAAAGCTATTGTAACCTAAATGTAACCTTGGGTACTCTATTTTTCCACCCTAATGCCGAGTTTGGACATAATTGTGTTTTTCTAATTGCTTGTACTTTGTGGTCATTTTAGTCATTCATTTATTACTGTGTCTTTTCACACTAAACTGAATTGAAATTTGGAATCGGAATCAGGAGTTAATCGAGTACTGTTCCAGTTGACTCGTTTTCTCTCTTGCTTGTCAGTCAATCGGGCGATAGAATAGATTTTCGTCTCTCTATCCAAGGCAGTTAGTTTCAATTCGGACTCACGTATTCCCAGCCTCAAGGTTAAACCAACTAGCCTGTAGCGTGGTGCCGAGTCATGGTAGACTATGAACACCACTACAAAGGAACGCGTGCCAGGATATCCATGAAATCCCTCGGAAGCCAAATATCAGAAGGCAGTTAATGGACCACGTCGAGATATATTTGCTTGCGATCTCGTGGTATCGAAAGAATACCGAGATTGTGCCAGGATACAAGCTTGGTTACTGAGCGTAACCGGATTCGCGCGAGGTCACAATCGAAGTAAGTATAATGGATGTTGCTAGCACAGTTAAACAAAGAGCACATTAAACCAAGCGCTGGTTCAATTGGTTATAATAATAATTGTTTTCATTAAACCAACCGCGTTCTCGTGAGAAAAGTAAGTCACTACAAGCCTATCGCATCCAGGTCTTAATCTAGATTGAGACGAGTTCTCTCTTGTATACTATTGGGTAGACAGACCAAGGATGTAACAGTTCCGTTTACAGAGTGCACCTTTTACATTGAAAATACGTTCAGAACTTAATATACCCGTCTTTATAAAAGTCATATCAGGATGGCTTTGAATAAAAACAAAATGAAATTCACAACTTGTAAAAAGTCCAATACTGACTCGTATAAATGATTATTTTCAGGAATGAATTACAATCTACTGAGAATTCACTGAGGAACTACGGCATCATTTTTATTCTTAAATTCATATAAAACAAGGAATACCTGAAGACACTAGAACTATCGACCTTAGTATATGGATGCTAAATTTATACATATTTATACAATGCTGCTCATGTACCATTGTAAACAGAATTTTTTTGTCTTGTATGAGAGATATGCTTCCACTCTCCAGTGTTTTGGACTTGGTAGCAGCGATCAAATTCTACAAATCGTCAGAATATTAACAAACGCATCCACTGCTCATCAGAACAAAAATGTTTGAGTATAGTAGGGTATTTACATATAAAATATGTACACTGTGTTAACTTGGAATTTTTGATGTCTTTATCCTTACATATTCACTTCGTTTTTTTGGTTGATATAAAATTACCATCATTAATTTTGCGTGTAATTTTGTTTTTCGGTTTTTCTCTTACCGTCTTAATTATTTCTTATTCAGTCACTGGATTTCGGTGGCTACCATATTTATTAACTGTTTTATTGATAGCTACTATTTGATTGACTGGTTTCACAATTATTACGAGGAACAAATAACGTTTCCCGTTTGTTGGAAACGTGTATTGCTATTGGAAATTCGATTACCTAACTGAGTGAATGGGGTTGGTGACTAAAATCCTGTGAAAAATATTTTTCTATGCCAATGTAAAGAGCAAGTGTCGTTCGTTTTTCCCTCATATTGACGATTAAATTAGACGTCTTAATCAAAGACGTTAAAAGTATTTAATTTTATGACCGTACTTGGGTAATATGTGGTGTTTGTATAAACTAATGATTCTTTTGTACTTGATGACCGCCTGGTTTTGAATTCTAAGCACGATACATTCGTTTGTGCTCACCCAGTTATTTGTGGCTTGGATTGCGTTGTTTCGGAAATTACCAGCTCGTACAATAATTCAAATACTACCAATCATCACATAATCTCTGCGTTTAACATTTTGAACGTAGAATTGTGCTGCACATGTACCAAGCCAGCTTCTAGGCTAAATAGGATGCACAGAATGATCCTCAAGCAAGAAACTTTAAAGACAAATTCCTATATTTCATTTCTCACAAATTTTTTTTTGCGAAATCAAGTGAACAGTCAATTCATAGTTAAGCCATAGGGAGAATCGGCTGGATTATATATACATATATGCAAATATATACAGTTTTTGAATTCAACTCGAAAGTCACACAATTCTGGAAATGGCTCAAAATTTCTTTGTCTCATAGGTCGTAATTGCATGAACAAGATTAGTCGGAAATTATCTACAATAAACTGATACATTATAGTTGTGCGTGTTGGTGTTCCTCTTTATAACTGAAGAGGATAATAGTACCTGCCCTTTTTTTCCATACTCACCCTAACAAACTTGAATTTTGCTCCAGAGAGTAAATTGTTACTTAATATTGTGATATAATTGCGTAAATAATGAAGATGCTACTGAAACAATATGCTTAAACAGTGTAACTGTGTAGCGGTAAATAAATCCCCAAAATAAATAGCACTAAGTTTTCGACATTGGATGCTGACCATATGTTTTAGTGGACTCACCTAGCTGAAGGCGCTCGGTCAGTCATCCGCACCAGATCACGTGTGGTAACGCCGTGCTCAACATCTACCGCAATCGCTAGCCAGATTAGATCAGAGAATTCCGATATATTGGTCATCGCCAAATATACTCTTCCGATCTCCTCGACTCTGTCTTTTGATTTCTCTGGGCGGGAACGAAATATGTTAGAAGGTGTTATTGGTAGAAGCGTTGTCAAACACTGAATACCTGTGACATCATCAACTGAAATGTTCCTTTTAATGTATTTCATGTCTCCCAATATTTATTAACTAGTTTTCATTTTCAATTTCACGTCTTAAAACTGCACAGAATATTCTTGAAATCCATGAGCATACGGAGTATAAAGTGTAAAGTATAAGGAAAACAGTCAAAGGTAGGAGCAGTCAACCCGTGAATATCGCTATATACTTCGGGAGACCAGCGAAATTACTAATGCTGTCTGTGTATATAAAGAAAATTACGCCTACATGAGTATTCCAAATGACAGATTAGTAAGTTAATAGCTAAACAAGCCACAAGTATTCGGAGTTTGACAACGCTCCAACCAGCAACACCTTTTATAATCGAAATATGCCAATTCAGTGAAATCAGAAGTCAGAAGCGAATATTTTCGTAGATATATTTGATAGGCTGTCGATTTATCGAGAAGTGACTAATCTAAGCTGGCTAACAGTTGTAGGAGAGGCAAAACAAAGAGCATCCAATCGTGACCTGGTGTGGATGAGTTACCGAGTGCCTTCAGCTAGGTGAGTGCATTAAAACTAATGCGATCAGCATCAAATGTCGATGATTTACACAGCTATTTATTTTGGGGATTTATTTACCGCTACAAAGTTATCGAGTCGTTAGTAACATGAACTGAATTAATTCCCAGATGGAAAAATTGTTCCTGTTGTAAAATACCACTGTGGTTGATTTGTGTCGATGGTTGGGCCTTCATAACCAAAGAATCTCAAATCCAGTCATACCAGAAGTCAGGAATGAAGAAATTCGAAGTTATATTTGAATAGCAGTCGGTATTTCGAAAAGTGAGTGAACCATGCTAGCTAGTTGTCGCGAGGATTCGACTTACGATGTACCCAATCACCATCCATTATGGATGTGTGGTCGAACGCCTTCAGCTAGTGTGTCCAGGTAAATTAACGAAGTCAGCATCAATGTCGAAGACTTACTGAACTATTTATCTCTTGAATTTATTTACTGTTAAAGTACAGGCAAAATTCGCGCAAACTTTTTTTGTTTTTGAAACTCTTCACAGCATGCGACAGTGAATACTTTTCTGTTGATTCTTTTAAGAACACACTTCAGCAGGCACTGACAAGAGAGCACTCATTGACTACTTTTCTAATCATTATCTAATGCTATCGTCCTTCAGGTATAAATGAAACACCACAAGACTTATAAATCTCCTTCAGCAAGAATGCTCTTTCTTTCCTGGACGCAATTCAGAAAAAGCGAATCCTCCGCTAACCTTGTCTAGCAAATTTGACATTATCGGCCGTACAATTCAATATTGACGATACACAAGGTCATGACCTCAAGTTGTTGAGGTATATGCCCAAAAGCTGGTGTTTCGCCTTTTGATTCAAAACAAAGTACATCAAAAACGTAGACAATGTTCGATAACGAAAAGATTTTTGATGAAAAAAGTGATGCGACTATAATTGACAAAGTTTCGATAATAAACTTGATGCAACAGGCTGCGAAAATATGAATCTCAGATTTTGTTGATAAAGTTTATGCTAAACTGCAGGTTAATTTAAATTGATCTAGTGTGACTTCGTCTAATAATAATGTAATTTAAGGAGGGATCACTTCAGTGCCGTGCAAAGGTTTTTGCTCTATGTACATACTAACTGACAGTGTGGAGGTCAGGAAATCAACTTAGATTATAATTTTCATAACTGTGTACCGGTAGCATAACGTCAGTGGTGTTAATTCTTGACCGATTGATGCGAATAATAATGAATCGCACTAAAGGAACAACAATGATCATTACTATTAATGGTAATAATCATTTACTTAAATGGCTCAGTTATCACGGATCACAGTACATGCATGTGGGAGACTACATGAATCTGACTGTAAAGTAAATGCTTGCAAAAATTAGCCATTCGGAACGCAAACATATTTTTCGATTTTCAATGGCACGTGCCCTACAAATATTAGTATATTTTTTCTCAAAACTGAGTGTTTTAAAATGGTATTTGGTTTGTAGCCAGATTACTAGTGTTTCTTGTTAGAGGTCGTTGGTTTATCTTACCTATTTTATTTCATAACGGGATTCGATTTCATACTCATGCTCAGCTACACAAGATTCACACTGAGAATCTTAACACATCCACACCCCACCTGCCTGCGAAATCCAATTATACAGTTCATCTAGCAACTGTTTAATAATACTTCACAGGCTCCTCCAAATTGCTTTCGTGCAATCTCTTTTAGATTTGGAACAGTGAAATTATTTATTTGCCCCATTATTCAGAAGTTATAATTATAATCGCGTAAAGTGCTACATCGCCTCCCTCTTCATGTTGTGTCTAAATGATTACCGTTTGTCGTCGATACGTGTTTACACAGTAATTTACTACTCACAATCCTTCATTTAAGGTATTTGGAAGTGAGCATATTGTCCCAGCAATCAAGCAGAGATTACTGTGTTTGTTGCATGCTAGGCTTTGTACTTTTTTTTGATCCCAAGCTTGTCATATTTTGAGGACAGCGTTATTAGTGATCTTCGTTTATTCCTGTCTTTAATAAATATTGGTGGATTGTTTGCACTTTCTGGGTCGTCAATTCACTTTTTATTTTTTTATTAGCCCTTACGCTTCTCTGGCTCCCTAGTACGTAACGCACCTTCTGGCTAGACGAAAACCGCTACACGTTACAGACTGTTTAAAGTCTCTTGCATCTACAGGTAGTTCTGCTAACTATGTTTAGATGAAAACACAATTGTCACAAAAGCTTTTAACTCCCATTTTTCGTGGGTTTTTCCAAGTTTCGGTAACGTTTTTTAATTAAACGCAACAACACACTTCGCTATTATATAAGGATACCAGTAGAGTTATAACGATGATCAACCAGTCAGATGTAAATGAAACACCCGAAAGATAAATTCTATGGCTAAATGATTGACATTTTCCGCGTGATGTAGACTGGCAATATTAATTATTTTTTCCATTAAATCAAAACGTATACTAGTAAGGCTACCAAAACAGATATTATTCACCAAGTATCTGTACCTTGTTTCACATACCAGATTATTGAAGGTGTTCTTCAAACCTATTGAGTGTTTCGACTGCTTCGGTAATGTACTGAGTAACACTTCTAGAGTCCTCGCACTGATATCAACTTTAGCTTCTGTACTACAAAGGTGAGTGTTTTCTGTGTCACTGGTCAAACGTATATACATACATGTCTTAAAAGCATTACTACTTTTCAAAATTAATTCATTTCTGTCTCAACTTGTCATGGTTTGCTTATTGTGATGTTGATTAAGTAGTAGTAAAGACAAGGTTCTTATTGAACGTTGAGCCACTGTCTGCACTGTGCTTTAGCAGCATCAGTACGTTACCCACCCATATTGCCTTCTCAAAAACAGAGCTTAATCTAAAAGATAACCCATAAACCCTTAGCCACGTGATTCCTCTGCCAGTAATCATCTTCTTAGAAGTATACCAGTTTATACCACATTAAAGTTAAATATTTCAAAAAATGTTCTGTACGACTGATCTCCAGTAGTCACTGTAGTTTATGTTCACATTGCCAAATAGATAGAATCTTCATTAATGCGTTTCCCTAAGGGAAGATTACCGCCGAACACATGAAAGGTTTTGTCTTACAAGGATCCATGACAGCTAAGTTCATTCACTATTAATATCTCGTCAATTATTTAAAAATTTTCTATTCTACTTATCATGTGCTTTTTGTTTCTTTATTTATAGAACATCGTCTCACCACAACCGTCAAGCGTATGTAGCGTAGGTGTAAGGGGTAAACCGGACCATAATAACTAGTTAAATGAAGCAGTACGAAAGGCAACTGTAGTGTTCTTTATTTGGCGTAAATGGGTCAGTCTTTATGTGCTCCTGTTCTATCCAAGGAAACGAAGAGCTGGCAGAATGAAAATTATAGTGTTGCAGTATCCAGCATGCAAGGATGGCGTGTACATATGGAAGACGCTCATATGTGTTTACTAGAGCTTCCTGGTGATCCAAAGGCTGCCTATTTCTCAGTTTTTGATGGACATGGAGGTACAAGAGTGGCAAATCATGCAAGTCGTCATCTTCACGAGAAAATTCTTGAACAAATTGAATATAGTAAGTCTTCTTTCTCATATGGATCGATTTTAGAAAAGGCATGCTAATTAGGAAAGTATTTGATGCACCTATTTTTCTTTCTTTGATTTGATACTCGTTGAAATATGTAATTTGCTCATCTGTAGCAATTGTCAGGTTCAATTTATGATAGTTAATAGCTTGAATTAGTCTACATATATTGTAGTGACCTCACATGAATAACAGTTGTCATACTTTCTGAAAGAAAAGTATATTGATGAATACCGTATACATATAGCAAAAATGTTGGTAACTAGGACTACATGTGACTTTTTGAAGGCTGATATCAATTTAAAGTGAAGGTCAGGTAAACTTTTAATTAATTTTCGTAACATTGGCTTCTGAACCTTCAATAGGTCTTCGCTCTGATTTGTTTTTTTGTGGCAGTCACTCAGTTTATGAATTCTGATCGTTTTAACTGGTATATAACCGGTTACCTAAACTGACTTTTTAATTATACTGAGGTTATAATCAGAAAAGCTTCCATTACGAAGCTGAACTTCTCATTGTTTTTGAGGCGGCAAATAAGAAGAGAATAGAAGTCGTCTTGTTCGTTTTATTGACGTCGAAGTTGCGAAATATTAGAATAGCATACGAGTGCATCACGTATAAGACCTTAAGGGTAATGCATACCTAAGTTGAACGGATAGAAAGCTATTTCGATCACAAGCAAAGTTTGAATAAATCTCTACTTGATGTAGGTGCACGCAGTTAGGCTTTGTGGTTCGGTTATTCTCTCAAACCGTATCCGTAGTTTTTCCACCATTCATTATATCCATCTTAAAATCTGCCTGAAAAAGCGAGGTCTATAAAAGTCGAGGCTAGGACTTAATCTGGTGTTATTTCCTTTTGTCACAAACGGTTGGCATCAGTACACGTATTTTTCACGTTGAAATTCCTGGCTTAATAGCTGTTTTATATATGTGAAGCCAAAGCAATGTTAATTTTATCTCACAACAGTTTTGTTGATATCTTGATTTTCTTTCTCAACACTTGAACCATAGGATGTATACCTATTAGGTTTTATGGGCGTGTTATAATTCTCTCATATTACAACTCATCTATTCTTATTTCATAGTATTCTTGAACACCAATTCACTCGACAAGTCCTCAAATCAGAAGGCGATTGAACAGATAGGGAATTATATTTCAAATAACAAGGGTAGATCGAAGTAAGAAGCACAATAAGAAAAACGTTAGCATATTTATAGTTTTTACAGGGGAATATTCCAGAATGTTCTCCAAGCATCGGCTAGCGCTGATTGGATAAGAATTAAGCAATCAGCGAGCACCAACGCAATCGTGCATGGAGCATGATTTAATCCAGTCTCTGTCTCACTAACAGGGTGTTTCAGTTAACTTGAGATTTTTGCTTATATGTTTGTATATAATGATATCTATGTCGTTCCTCATTATCTGTCTAAAAACCAATTCAGTATTAGACACGTCGGTAGCCATTTTAGTTATTAAAGTTACCCCCTGCGAATATCTGGTACTTATCTGTAACGTTTTGGATTCATTCATCCTGATAGTAATATTATAAATGTCACTGGAATATACAATAGTTATAAAACTCATCTATTTCTTCCTAAAATGGCTACATGTAACACTTTGTGGTTGCAACGTATGATGATAAACACAATCTTAGCCTGCCACAATCTCCGTCAATATTGTTCTCTACGACATCGTGGTATGAAAGAAAGCTGCAAAGGGCTGGCCTCTGTTGGTCCTTCACGACTCCCTGACTGGGGTCCGAGAGATGGTGCGACGTTATCAGATATGGCTCAGAATAGAAGCCAATGGCGATCTTGCTGTAACCTTCTTTTACTTTCTTCGTAAAAAGTGGTTGTGTCTTCCTTAACTGAAAGATTTCTTCTGGTTGTACTTTTCTGTTTTCCCCATTATTATTATCACACTACCTCACACTAATCTGGTCGTTATTGTTCTTTTTTTCTTTTACGCTCCTTACATTCTTTTTCTCTTGTCATTCTCATTGTTTTGTGTGGCGCATATATATTTGGTGCCCTCTTGTACCAATATTTATGTGTTCAAATAAATAAATAAATAAAACCAACTACGACATCCCCAGTATCATTCGAGTGACCTGGATTAGGGTTAGAAACTAAGCTGGTCATTGCATTAACCGATTGACTAACTCATGTATGTTTATGGGATTACTATGCAATTTTCCACTAGTCCTATTAAGCTGTGAGATTGGATGGATGTTATCCCACCACAAATTGAGCGAACGATGATTTCGAACTTTTCCCATTTGTAGAACTACAATGAAACATCCTAATTTAAAGAACCGAACGATTGATTTACTGCTGGATAATAAGGTAGTACAAAGCTATGAAGCAGTTCTCACTAACTTATACCTCTAAGTAAAATACTTTTTGTTTTTTTCCTTATTACATAAGTGGAAGCGAATATGTGGAAATCAAACAATAATTTGATCACCAAATATTACTATATCCTTAAAAGGATCTCGATACATAACCAGCCGTTAACTTGTCCTTTTTAGGTCGGAACGACATAAAAGAGGCTATTCGTCATGCCTTTCTTTCTATGGATGCTGAGATGCAATCTGAAATGACCACATATTCTGTTAAATCATCGGCACCGAAATTAGACAGCTCAGTTAATTTAACAGCTCCTGGTTCAGTTGTAGCAGTGAAAGATAGTACTGTTGAAACCCACAATGACAGTACAACAAGCTTCTCTTTGAAAATTCCAAATCCAGGTGATGAATTGGCTGGATCCACTGGAATAATAGTCCTACTGAAAGATCAAATGCTTTACTGTGGAAATGCTGGAGACAGCCGTGCAGTATGTAGCAGACGTGGTGTCGCAGAACCTTTGTCTACAGATCACAAACCAACTCTACGTGCTGAGAAAGAACGTATTTCTGCTGCTGGTGGTTGGGTCGATGCAAAACGTGTGAATGGGAACCTTGCACTATCACGAGCTTTCGGGGATTTTGTCTTCAAGCGTAATCCACACCAGTCTGCCGAAAACCAAATTGTAACTGCGAATCCGGACGTTTTTGTTCGACGACTTTCAGTCGAAGATGATGAATTTATTGTACTGTGTTGCGATGGTATATGGGATGTAATGACAAATCAGGAAGTTGTAAGCTTTATTCGTCTGCGACTCAGTTATGGTATGCTTCCATCTAAAGTAAGATTTTACATAGTAATACACTTTTTTATTAAAGCACCATATCGACATAAGAATTCGTTTTCGAAATTTCTCAAAAAGTGCTGTAGAATTAAGATCTGTATGTTCCAGACTCTTTAAAAGTGTCTTTTTAGATCAATAAGCAGAAGCAGTTTAGTGATTAACCTCCCTTTATAATGAATTGATACAAAATACCTAGTTTTCGTGTCATAAAAAAGCTGCTGTATTTCAAACAGTATATGAAAATATGGTTCATTATCACTGAGTGTTCTGAAAAGTACAGCCATTTAATACACCAAATTTTATCTGAACTGATTACAGTGACAATACATTTAATTTTGACAGAACTGCCAGTATTAATCAATGCACTGTTAAATGCCAGTATTCTACAGCTTTGAAGTATTTCCTACTTTTAATGGATGTACTACCAAAACGCATATTTTTGTAGAAATAGAAATGTTGTAAGCGGTATAAATTCAATTGATGTGTGGTAGTGAAAGTAAAGTATGATTGATTGTTGAGCGTGAACAAACAGCAATAGCCTACGGACTATTAAATATGTGATTTTCCTTTTTATCTTTGATCTCTACTTTGGACACACTGTATGTGAATGCTTGTAATTGTATTGCATAAAGTATTCTCTAGTGTTAACCTAGTTCTCTTTTGGATCGCGAATACTGGTTCTGAAATAACGTGATTAATCTTATTAACGTATTATCTTAATGTACATGTAGGGGGGGGAAATGTTGTAAACAATCAGTTATATCACAAAAAAGTGAGAAATACCAAGTCATACTGTTATAATTTCTGCTGTAGAAATTAATTACGATACAATGAATAGTGCGAGCGAGTGTATATATGCGTATTGTTAACTATTAGAAATTAGAGGGTCTGAACTGATTGTTCATTCTATGCCTAATTACTCTGAGAATTAATGTGCTTTTGGGATACTGGTAAATATAGCCATTTTAACCAGATATCTCGAAAAGTATAAGACCTCTTGTTTGTGTTCATACTAAACCACACATTTTATTGTTCTTAGGTATGTGAAGAACTTATGATGCGATGTCTAGCACCTGACTGTCATACAAATGGTTTGGGCTGCGATAACATGACTGTCGTTTTGGTCTGTCTCTTACAAGGACGCCCGTTCTCGGATTTGCAACGCAAGTGTTCTCGATCGTGTCCAGCCGGTCCAGCAGCCGATATTTTAGGTGCATGAGGCTGTGGGAATTTATCGCCGTGAATTTCCTTTGTAGTCCTAGCTGAGAGCTTCGCCTTGCCACTTATTTTGATCTAATATTTACAATAATTTTTTTACCTCCTATGTAGTCTTGCATTTTGTTTCTAAGAACTGTAACCTCACTGCATGTAATTACTTTAAAAATTCGGTTAATTCTTGAATGATATTAAAAGTTGTGAGGATTTACCATGCTTGTTGGTAGATAGATGTGTTATATAACTTATCAAATTGAATGGAAGTTTGCTTATCTATCATATAAAGAGTTCATCAATTTGTGTGTGGGCTGTGATACTGCCCGGGTGCCCAAACCGAAGCAGGTGGTTATCTTAGGGGGCCACTCCCCGAGCCTTTGACCTAAAGGTCTAACCCACAAGGCAGTGGAGCATCGTAAGGAGATGCAGTCCCATGGTAGCCGGTGACCAACGATTGGTTCATACGCCATTTGTTCCCGCAGGATACTGGAGCCCATGTGCACCATTGATTTGGAATCCGGTTAAAGCGCCGGACATTCGCTTTTCGTCCTCTCATTTTCGTAAACAACACCCCCGCCACGAGAAGGCAGTGAGTAGGACTTCCCTGGCAGAGGCTGTATACGCGTGGCCGTGTGAGAGTATTTCGAGAGGGAGAGCGGACTCTCCCCACTCTCGGCCGTACCAGAGACGTTAGACGACTCTCTGTGTTCGATCATCGCTGTCTCCGAAGGATTGCTGACATTCAGTGGCAACACCATGTCAGTAATGCAGAGGTTCGGCATCGTGTGTTCGGGCACAGAGATGATAATCCAATTGGTGTCACCATCTTGAAACACCGACTTCGGTGGCTTGGACATGTTCTACGAATGTCGTCTCAGAGAATTCCACGCCGTGCATTATTTGCCGACTCTGGGACTGGTTGGAAGAAGCGGAGAGGTGGTCAGTGCATGACATGGTGTCGTGGTGTGAAAGAAAGCTGCAAAGGACTGGCTTGTGTTGGTCCTTCACGACTCCCTGGTTGGGGTCTGAGAGATGGTGCTACACAGTGGCTAGAGACGTTATCAGATATGGCTCAAAATAGAAGCCAGTGGCGATCCTGCTGTAACCTTCTTTTACTTTCTTCATAAAAAGTGATTGTGTCTCATTTACCTGAAAGATTTCTTCTGATTGTACCTTTTCGTTCCGTCGTTACTACCACACTACCTTACTTCAATCTCTTCGTCATTGTTCTCTTTTTCTTTTGCGCTCCTTAGTTTTTTTTTCTACTTCTCTTGAATTCTCATTGTTTTGTGTGGCGCATATATATTGGCGCTCTCTTGTACCAATATTCATGTGTTCAAATAAATAATAAATATCTATCATATTGAATAACATTGCAATTAACTATTTGACTTGACTTTTCAAGGATTTCCGACTGATAATCCGTCGTACAATTTTAACGTACAAATCTGCATTACTGCGGAACATAAGATCAAGCTCTAGATACCCAATTGTGTTACCAACATCTATCAGTTTTTCATGTTGGTAGGTACAGTCCAGGGCAGTATTTTAACGAGTATACAAGTATGAATTATTTTTATTTGAACACATAAATATTGGTACAAGAGGGCACCAAATATATATGCGCCACACAAAACAATGAGAATGACAAGAGAAAAAGAATGTAAGGAGCGTAAAAGAAAAAAAGAACAATAACGACCAGATTAGTGTGAGGTAGTGTAATAATAATAATGGGGAAAACAGAAAAGTACAACCAGAAGAAATCTTTCAGTTAAGGAAGACACAACCACTTTTTACGAAGAAAGTAAAAGAAGGTTACAGCAAGATCGCCATTGGCTTCTATTCTGAGCCATATCTGATAACGTCGCACCATCTCTCGGACCCCAGTCAGGGAGTCGTGAAGGACCAACGAAACTCAGCCCAGTTTCCTTGCATACCACGCCACCATGTCATGCACTGACTACCTCTCCGCTTTTTCCAACCAGTCCTAGCGTCGGCAAGTAATGCACGACGTGGAATTCTCTGGGATACTTTCGTAAAACATGTCCAAGCCACCGAAGTCGATGTCTCAAGATGGTGACACCAGCTGGATTACCGTCTCTGCGCCCGAACATGATGCCGAACCTCTGCATTACTAACATGGTGTTGCCACTGGATATCAGCAATCCTTCGGAGACGACAATGATCAGACACAGTATTCTAACATCCTCAACTCGGAGAGGCTAGGTTTCACAAGCATAGAGCAGAACTGCTCTCACCGACGCGTTGTAGACCCGATCTTTCACAGCTAGACTGACATTACGAAGGCGCCAAAGATTGCCCAGATTGGCATAAGCCGCTCTGGCTTTCACTATACGTGCATTGATCTCATCACTCACACCACCACTTATTAAGCTACCTAAATATACAAACTTCTCGACTACTTCTATCTCACCATCCAGGGTGAGTACAGGATTAGAATCCTGCCAGTCTCGTAGACGTACTTTGCACTTCGAAGGTGCAAAGCTCACACCGTACCTGCGGACACTGATTAAGTGCGGATTGCATGCCTTGGTCATTATCGCACAGTAAGAAAATACCATCCGCATACTCAAGGTCGAGAAGTCTTTTTCCAGGCAACAGATCCACACCACCACTACTTACATCCATCAGAGCTGTTTCCAGAATGTCATCGATGGCAAAGTTGAAGAGGAAGGTTGAGATTGGGCAACCCTGCTCAACCCCACTGCTCGAATGGAACAATGGACAGAGGTGGTTGTATGCCCTCACTCTACCCGAGATGCTTGTATATAGGGTTTTTAGGATGTTAATAAACTTCTCAGGCACATCCTTCAATAGACAATCCCAGAGAACAGTCCTGTCCAGCGAATCGAAGGCAGCCCTAATGTCAAGAAACACTACGGTTGTTGGCCTGTGATAAGTATGATGTCCTGACATTTTGCGGAGGGTGAAGATATGATCAATACACCCTCGACCAGAACGAAAACCAGCCTGCTCCTCTTGAGTAGAAAATTTCTCGGGTTTTGAACAACCTACGAAGTATGACACTTTCTGGAGAAGAACAGTTAACTGGTGGTAGAATTCATACTTAATTGCATCCGGCATGCAATCTGTCGGGAAATAGGCGGAGATGACGAAAAGACATCGTTTCTCACGTCGATTTCTTCTCACTTTGATGGAACTTTCTAATCTAACACCACATAACCGACTGTTAATGGGGATCCAATCGATTAGTGCTGCCTCAGCTCTAGCGCTTAGTGCGACACCAACGCCAGAAAGACTAGACGAAGATGCCACAGGGTCCCCGGATAAACGCACGTAAAACAAGCCTCTCAAAGTGATACATGGAGAGCGAATTTGTCGTACATCACCAGAGTCTTGAATACGGGTCTCGGATAGACAACAACCGTCGATATTACGACTTTCCAAAGACAGCCAGCCCTATCTGTTGTCCGACCTCCATTCAAGTTCGAACGTTGAAGGCAGCCAGTTTGAATAGTGCGCGTGGTTTCAGAAAAACTGCTTCAGTATTCGTATTTGGTGGTAGCATACAATTTTCAACCAGGCAGTGACTCGAGAACGTTTAGATAGAACTGAGTTTCCACCATAAGCGAGCTGCTGTATAAGTCGAAAAATAAGGACACATAAAGTGGGAATAAAAGAGAGTGAATAAATGACGTAGTAAATAATAATAACAACAATGTGGATCGTTTGACCGTTAATGGAAGCAAGTATAGTATTATCCGTAAGTATTGTGTGTGGGCTGTGATATCTCCCGGGTGCCCAAACCGAAGCAGTTGGTTTTCTTAGGGGGCCGCACCCCGAGCCTTTGACCTTAAGGTCTGACCCGCAAGGAGGTGGGGCGACGTCAGGAGATGCATTCCCATGGAGGCCGGTGACCAACAATTGGTTCATACTCTCTTTGTTAGGATACTGGGGCCCATGTGCACCATTGGTTTGGAATCAAGGTTTCCCAACTCCTCTATGTGGACTCACCATGTCCACCAACCCGGTTAAAGAGCCGGACATTCGCTTTCTGTCCTCTCAATTTCGTAAACACCCCTGCCACGAGAAGGCAGTGAGTAGGACTTCCCTGGCAGATGTTGTATACGCGTGGTCGTGCGAGACCACTTCGAAAGGGAGGGCGGGCCCTCTCCGCCGTACCAGGGCATTTGGGGGTATACTAGTATGAGTAGAACACAGAACGTATTTAGCTGAGTGGGATCGCTTTACAGAACATTTTAACAGCCTTAAGTAACAGCACGTGTAGTTGGTACAAACTTCAACCTTAACCAACTTCTCTATTTTGGGGAAGCCACTGTAGAAGGTTTACGGAAATGGCACAAATTCCCAGATTTGGGGAAAACCCCAAAGTAGGGAGATTGGGTATGTTCGAACTACTTCATGTCGTTTAATTTTAGGATCATCGGCTTTCTATTCTGAACGGTGTCTCACTCTGAATAATAGATAAAGTATATAATGTGCTTATTTGTTCACATAAATATAAATAGTCTATAACAACTGAGACCTAAAGCATACTTTTTAGTAAGATCATAAATAAGATTAAATCCCATAGTAACCACTTGATAAAAATAAAGATGTTTCAATCTTTTATGACCAAAATCTCAGATTGTATACAAATGAGAGCCAGAGATTAGAAAAGCTATGCTTTTAGTGTCTTGACTTAACAGAGTTAGGTTGTGTAAATCCCAAGTTCATGAAAACTGATTTCGGCAACCAAACTACTTGTATACGAAGAGCAGTCTGAGATATTGCCCTAGATGAATTCATTGTTGGAATTCGGAGATAAAATTTCAAAATCAGTAGTATATAAGCTGTGACTAGGCAACAGATCAAAATAAGTAATGAATTGTCAGGACTGGTACTACAGAAACCCCAAATGCCCTGGTACGGCCGAGAGTGGGGAGAGTCAGCTCTCCCTCTCGAAATGCTCTCACATGTCCACGTGTATACAGCCACTCACAAGGAAGTCCTACTCACACAATTCTTTTCACGGTGTTGTTTACGAAATTGAAAGAACGAAAAGCAAATGTTTGGTGCTTTAACCGGGTTGGTGAATAGGGAGGGTCCATCTAGAGGAGTTGGAAAACCCTTATTCCAAACCAATGGTGCACAAGGGCTCCAGTATCCTGAGGGAACAAATGGCGTATCAACCTATTATTGGTCACCGGCTACCATGGGAGTGCATCTCCTGACGTTGCTCCACTGCCTTGTGGATCAGACCTTCAGGTCGAAGGCTCGGGGAGTGGCCTCCTAAGAAAACCACCTGCTTCGGTTTGGAAACCCGGGCAGTACCACAGCCCTCATGAGATTTGTGTGGTGCATATGTATTTGGTGCCTCCTTGTACCAATATCTATGTGTTAAAATAAATAGTGATAAACTACAAAACTCAGTTACCATATTAGGATTCGTGCACTCAGCTCTGAATCCCAATTTTGGAGTGGTAGTGATGCTACCCGGTTATTGAAACTAGAGATGTGCTGTAATCAATAAACTACTACACAAACAAGCACTGAAATACGTAAAAAAACTTAGTGCACTTCTAATAAATATGTGATTATCTGTTAAGTAACAGTCAACATATTTCTTATAAGCTGGGTATTATGACTTTCGTACGATGAAATATAAAAACATAAGTAAACAGAAAACATTTACTAAAGAATAAATTGAATTAAATTTAATATTTGGAAGTACACACGGGTGCTAGATCACAATTAAGAATCGGAATCTATACACTAAAGCTCTCTCCGCACCCACATGTGCCTTTAATATTAGGGTTATTAAAAACAAATTGACTTGACAGTACGTCCTGCTGATAGTCCATTTCAGTACCTAGTAACGTCAGCTGAGCTCGGCGATCAATGAAAATGCGGACATTATCTTGTTCTACAACTTCATCTCCGGGTTGGCGTCCTTCAAAACAAAAGTCCAAAGTATATGACAAGCCATTACATCCACGGGTCCTAACTCCAATGCGTAATCCTGTGGCTTTTGGATTCATTTGCAAGAGCTGCAGAGCTCGAGCTACAGCTGACTTTGTAAGAATCAGTGGTGCATGTTTACCAACAAAGGATGACGGTTTTGACTGCGCAGTTGTCTTTACGGAATTTGAAATCGATCCGGGTCTGGTTGAAAATCGATACACTGTAGATTTCGTAACCAAACTATCCTCTATTAAGCAGTGCAAGATTTTTGATCTGGTTGTGACCAACTTAAGGCATTTAACCGAGTTCATTGAAGCATGAAGCGTTATACCGACATCTGAAATGACAAAAAATGTATTTAGGAAATTACCAATTTACCAACATACAACGTAACGCGTATGCTAAATTCAAAATGCTACTACCAACATACATTTCAACGTAGGTAGCTTGTGCATAATTATCTCTGTGCATTTATGATAGCACTAGACATATTAATGTCAACAGCCAGAGCTGCATTCAATTTTTCATAACTCTAAAGACCACTAAGAACATATATATGTATATATCACAACCTAAAGAATAATAGATGAAGAGTATTTTAAACGGGTAATACGCCGGTCCTCATTAGTTAGTTCATCGTATCCACTAAAATTAACTAAATTGCATTCAGCTTGATTGCTGGGACAATATGCTCACTTCCAAATACCTTAAATGAAGGATTGTGAGTAGTAAATTACTGTGTAAACACGTATCGACGACAAACGGTAATCATTTAGACACAACATGAAGAGGGAGGCGATGTAGCACTTTACGCGATTATAATTATAACTTCTGAATAATGGGGCAAATAAATAATTTCACTGTTCCAAATCTAAAAGAGATTGCACGAAAGCAATTTGGAGGAGCCTGTGAAGTATTATTAAACAGTTGCTAGATGAACTGTATAATTGGATTTCGCAGGCAGGTGGGGTGTGGATGTGTTAAGATTCTCAGTGTGAATCTTGTGTAGCTGAGCATGAGTATGAAATCGAATCCCGTTATGAAATAAAATAGGTAAGATAAACCAACGACCTCTAACAAGAAACACTAGTAATCTGGCTACAAACCAAATACCATTTTAAAACACTCAGTTTTGAGAAAAAATATACTAATATTTGTAGGGCACGTGCCATTGAAAATCGAAAAATATGTTTGCGTTCCGAATGGCTAATTTTTGCAAGCATTTACTTTACAGTCAGATTCATGTAGTCTCCCACATGCATGTACTGTGATCCGTGATAACTGAGCCATTTAAGTAAATGATTATTACCATTAATAGTAATGATCATTGTTGTTCCTTTAGTGCGATTCATTATTATTCGCATCAATCGGTCAAGAATTAACACCACTGACGTTATGCTACCGGTACACAGTTATGAAAATTATAATCTAAGTTGATTTCCTGACCTCCACACTGTCAGTTAGTATGTACATAGAGCAAAAACCTTTGCACGGCACTGAAGTGATCCCTCCTTAAATTACATTATTATTAGACGAAGTCACACTAGATCAATTTAAATTAACCTGCAGTTTAGCATAAACTTTATCAACAAAATCTGAGATTCATATTTTCGCAGCCTGTTGCATCAAGTTTATTATCGAAACTTTGTCAATTATAGTCGCATCACTTTTTTCATCAAAAATCTTTTCGTTATCGAACATTGTCTACGTTTTTGATGTACTTTGTTTTGAATCAAAAGGCGAAACACCAGCTTTTGGGCATATACCTCAACAACTTGAGGTCATGACCTTGTGTATCGTCAATATTGAATTGTACGGCCGATAATGTCAAATTTGCTAGACAAGGTTAGCGGAGGATTCGCTTTTTCTGAATTGCGTCCAGGAAAGAAAGAGCATTCTTGCTGAAGGAGATTTATAAGTCTTGTGGTGTTTCATTTATACCTGAAGGACGATAGCATTAGATAATGATTAGAAAAGTAGTCAATGAGTGCTCTCTTGTCAGTGCCTGCTGAAGTGTGTTCTTAAAAGAATCAACAGAAAAGTATTCACTGTCGCATGCTGTGAAGAGTTTCAAAAACAAAAAAAGTTTGCGCGAATTTTGCCTGTACTTTAACAGTAAATAAATTCAAGAGATAAATAGTTCAGTAAGTCTTCGACATTGATGCTGACTTCGTTAATTTACCTGGACACACTAGCTGAAGGCGTTCGACCACACATCCATAATGGATGGTGATTGGGTACATCGTAAGTCGAATCCTCGCGACAACTAGCTAGCATGGTTCACTCACTTTTCGAAATACCGACTGCTATTCAAATATAACTTCGAATTTCTTCATTCCTGACTTCTGGTATGACTGGATTTGAGATTCTTTGGTTATGAAGGCCCAACCATCGACACAAATCAACCACAGTGGTATTTTACAACAGGAACAATTTTTCCATCTGGGAATTAATTCAGTTCATGTTACTAACGACTCGATAACTTTGTAGCGGTAAATAAATCCCCAAAATAAATAGCTGTGTAAATCATCGACATTTGATGCTGATCGCATTAGTTTTAATGCACTCACCTAGCTGAAGGCACTCGGTAACTCATCCACACCAGGTCACGATTGGATGCTCTTTGTTTTGCCTCTCCTACAACTGTTAGCCAGCTTAGATTAGTCACTTCTCGATAAATCGACAGCCTATCAAATATATCTACGAAAATATTCGCTTCTGACTTCTGATTTCACTGAATTGGCATATTTCGATTATAAAAGGTGTTGCTGGTTGGAGCGTTGTCAAACTCCGAATACTTGTGGCTTGTTTAGCTATTAACTTACTAATCTGTCATTTGGAATACTCATGTAGGCGTAATTTTCTTTATATACACAGACAGCATTAGTAATTTCGCTGGTCTCCCGAAGTATATAGCGATATTCACGGGTTGACTGCTCCTACCTTTGACTGTTTTCCTTATACTTTACACTTTATACTCCGTATGCTCATGGATTTCAAGAATATTCTGTGCAGTTTTAAGACGTGAAATTGAAAATGAAAACTAGTTAATAAATATTGGGAGACATGAAATACATTAAAAGGAACATTTCAGTTGATGATGTCACAGGTATTCAGTGTTTGACAACGCTTCTACCAATAACACCTTCTAACATATTTCGTTCCCGCCCAGAGAAATCAAAAGACAGAGTCGAGGAGATCGGAAGAGTATATTTGGCGATGACCAATATATCGGAATTCTCTGATCTAATCTGGCTAGCGATTGCGGTAGATGTTGAGCACGGCGTTACCACACGTGATCTGGTGCGGATGACTGACCGAGCGCCTTCAGCTAGGTGAGTCCACTAAAACATATGGTCAGCATCCAATGTCGAAAACTTAGTGCTATTTATTTTGGGGATTTATTTACCGCTACACAGTTACACTGTTTAAGCATATTGTTTCAGTAGCATCTTCATTATTTACGCAATTATATCACAATATTAAGTAACAATTTACTCTCTGGAGCAAAATTCAAGTTTGTTAGGGTGAGTATGGAAAAAAAGGGCAGGTACTATTATCCTCTTCAGTTATAAAGAGGAACACCAACACGCACAACTATAATGTATCAGTTTATTGTAGATAATTTCCGACTAATCTTGTTCATGCAATTACGACCTATGAGACAAAGAAATTTTGAGCCATTTCCAGAATTGTGTGACTTTCGAGTTGAATTCAAAAACTGTATATATTTGCATATATGTATATATAATCCAGCCGATTCTCCCTATGGCTTAACTATGAATTGACTGTTCACTTGATTTCGCAAAAAAAAATTTGTGAGAAATGAAATATAGGAATTTGTCTTTAAAGTTTCTTGCTTGAGGATCATTCTGTGCATCCTATTTAGCCTAGAAGCTGGCTTGGTACATGTGCAGCACAATTCTACGTTCAAAATGTTAAACGCAGAGATTATGTGATGATTGGTAGTATTTGAATTATTGTACGAGCTGGTAATTTCCGAAACAACGCAATCCAAGCCACAAATAACTGGGTGAGCACAAACGAATGTATCGTGCTTAGAATTCAAAACCAGGCGGTCATCAAGTACAAAAGAATCATTAGTTTATACAAACACCACATATTACCCAAGTACGGTCATAAAATTAAATACTTTTAACGTCTTTGATTAAGACGTCTAATTTAATCGTCAATATGAGGGAAAAACGAACGACACTTGCTCTTTACATTGGCATAGAAAAATATTTTTCACAGGATTTTAGTCACCAACCCCATTCACTCAGTTAGGTAATCGAATTTCCAATAGCAATACACGTTTCCAACAAACGGGAAACGTTATTTGTTCCTCGTAATAATTGTGAAACCAGTCAATCAAATAGTAGCTATCAATAAAACAGTTAATAAATATGGTAGCCACCGAAATCCAGTGACTGAATAAGAAATAATTAAGACGGTAAGAGAAAAACCGAAAAACAAAATTACATGCAAAATTAATGATGGTAATTTTATATCAACCAAAAAAACGAAGTGAATATGTAAGGATAAAGACATCAAAAATTCCAAGTTAACACAGTGTACATATTTTATATGTAAATACCCTACTATACTCAAACATTTTTGTTCTGATGAGCAGTGGATGCGTTTGTTAATATTCTGACGATTTGTAGAATTTGATCGCTGCTACCAAGTCCAAAACACTGGAGAGTGGAAGCATATCTCTCATACAAGACAAAAAAATTCTGTTTACAATGGTACATGAGCAGCATTGTATAAATATGTATAAATTTAGCATCCATATACTAAGGTCGATAGTTCTAGTGTCTTCAGGTATTCCTTGTTTTATATGAATTTAAGAATAAAAATGATGCCGTAGTTCCTCAGTGAATTCTCAGTAGATTGTAATTCATTCCTGAAAATAATCATTTATACGAGTCAGTATTGGACTTTTTACAAGTTGTGAATTTCATTTTGTTTTTATTCAAAGCCATCCTGATATGACTTTTATAAAGACGGGTATATTAAGTTCTGAACGTATTTTCAATGTAAAAGGTGCACTCTGTAAACGGAACTGTTACATCCTTGGTCTGTCTACCCAATAGTATACAAGAGAGAACTCGTCTCAATCTAGATTAAGACCTGGATGCGATAGGCTTGTAGTGACTTACTTTTCTCACGAGAACGCGGTTGGTTTAATGAAAACAATTATTATTATAACCAATTGAACCAGCGCTTGGTTTAATGTGCTCTTTGTTTAACTGTGCTAGCAACATCCATTATACTTACTTCGATTGTGACCTCGCGCGAATCCGGT